GGGAGGGAGGGAGGAAGGAAGGAAGGAAGAAAGGCAGACCAAAAGAAAGAAACTAGGCCATCTTTTTACACCAAATACAAAAACAGACTCAAAATGAAAGACTTAAATTTAAGACTTGAAACCATAAAACTCCTAGAAGAAAACATAGGCAGTATAATCTCTGACATTTCTCTTAGCAATATTTTTCTGATATATCTCCTCAGGCAAACAAAAGAAAAATAAACAAGTTGGACTAAATAAAATTAAAAAGATTCTGTAGAGCAAAGGAAACCATCAACAAAAGGAAAAAAAAAACCTACTGAATGGGAGAGAATATTCACCAATGAATGATACATCTGATAAGGGGTTAATATCCAAAATTTCTAAAGAACCCAAACTATTCAACATGAAAAAAATCCAATTACAAATGGGCAGCCAACCTGAATAGACACTTCTCCAAAGAGGGCATACAGATGACCAACAGACATATGAAAAGATGCTCAACATCACTAATCATCAGAGAAATGCAAGTTAAAATCAGTGAGATATCACCTCCCACGTGACAGAATGACTGTCATCAATAAATCAACAAACAACAAGGTAAAAATGTGTAGAAAGAGAACCCTCAGGCACTGTTGGTAGGAAGGCAGACCGGCGCAGCCACTATGAAAAACAGTATTGAGGTTCCTCAAAAAATTCAAAATGGAACTGCTGTATGACCCAGCAATTCCATTTCTGGGAATATATCCAAAGAGACCCAAAACATTACTTTGAAAAGATATATGCACCCCTATGTTCACTGTAGCATTATTTACAGTAGCCAAGATCTGAAAGCAACCCAAGTGCCCAAAAATAGATCAGTGGATAAAAAGGTTATGGTACCTATATACAATGGAATATTACTCAGCCATAAAAAAGAAGAAAAAAAGTATTATATCTTACCATTTGCAACAACATGGATAGATATAGAGGGCATTATGCTAAGTAAAATATGTCTCACAGAGAAAGACAAATACAAGTTCACTTATTTGTGGAATCATAAAGAATAAAATAAATAAACAAAATAGAAACAGCTTCATAGATACAGAAAGCAGACTGATGGGTGCCAGAGGGCAGGAGGGTTGTGAGATTGGGCAAAAAAGATAAAGGAATTGAGAAGTATAAACCGGTAGTTACAAAATAGTCACAGGATGTAAAGTACAGGATAGGGACTATAATCAGTAATTCTGTAATAACTCTGTATGGGGCCAGCTTGGTTCTCAAAATATTGAGGGGGGAACACTTCCTAAAGTTATGATTGTCTAACAACTATAGAGTCCACCTGAAACTAATACATATAATAATGAATATAAACTGTAATCAAAAAATAAAAAGTTTTATAAAGAAATTGAAAATGGCAAAATCAGAGGTATTCTTTTGAAAAATCAATCCAGTAGATTTTTAAAACTTAACCAAATAGCTGAATAGCTTATTTTTGGCATTCCTGAACTTCTATATTATAAATGATCCTATGATTACACAAATTACTATAATATGTAATCAGCAATGCAAACAAGGCATTTAATATCTGAATATTTACTTTCAAATACAGGTAAGATTCCAACAATGGCTAAATAGCTTGTTGCAAACTAATCTCCTTGCTAAGAACTAGGAACCCTGGGCCAAAAAAAAGAAATAATCTGCAGACATTAGAGAGCTACCATAGCAGTGAGGACGTAAGGGACAAAGGTCTAGAGAGAGAAGAAAAGCACCAGGAGGTAAGTCTATTATTTAGAACTGCTTTTTCCTTTGAGGCATTTGTTAATTTCCAAAGAGGGGGGAGGGGTGGAGGGTGCTGAGAGACTCAAAAACTGAGCATAAAATAATGACCAGGGAGGTTGTGAAGCTGCAGAGACCTTCTGCCAGTCTTATGGCATTGGGCGAACAAAAACTGCAGTTCAGGGCCTATGAAAGAGAAAGAGTCTTAAAAAAAATCAGGGCTTTCACATGTGGGACCCCTGACAACTACATCTTAGAATAGGGACAACGTAGGAATAGGCCAGCCCCACAAAGCCTGAGGCAAATCTGTGTATCAGATCAATCTCTGATTCTGCCTATAAGAAGCAAAAATCCTTTTTAGAAGAAAATGACACAGCCTAAAATTATCTCTACCATTTTTTATACGCTGTGTCCAAAATTCATTAAAAATCATCAGGCTTATCAAGAGATGAGACTGAGATAATAAAAAACTAAGAGAAAGGAAAATAAACAAGATATTGGAGTTATCAGACTTGGATTTTGCGATTTTGCAATGTGAAAATTTCAAGACTAGGAAAAACTATAAAATCACACACACACACACACACACACACACACAATGACAGTCATGAAGTCATCTTCAATTCATGTAAAATAAAGTATACACATTAAAAAACACAGGAAAAAAAGCTTTGAGGAAAATGAGATACCTAAAACACATTTGATTACAGTTATCAAACTTCAAAACAACATAACTTAAAACCCCAATAAAGCATAAAGTGGCTAATTTTGAAAAATAAGCTTATTAAAATGACTACTGAGAAATGGCAACCCCTCTAATCCTCTCACTGAATATGAAGGGGTTCACACTTATCAAAATGATGAATCCTAGGATTAAGAGTGCTTC